TATTGTTTCATAGATAATCCAAAATTATTTTTATAAATTTTAAATTTGTATATGTTTTAAAAAAAAACATCACGATAATTAAAATATTTTGTTTGTATTTTAATATTTAATTATATATTTCTATTTATAGTTTTATATTTTAGTGTAACATTTTATCAAATAATATTTCTTTAATATTTTTATAATATTTTTATACATGTGATAGTTATTTATAAAAGTATTATGAATTTGAATTAGTTATGACAAATATAAGGACCATTATATAAAATACAAATAGTTTTAAAGTTAGATTTGAAGTTTTGCTTTTGGGGTATAACACTTTCAAACTTCAAATATAGAGTTTTGCAAACTCTATAATAGAGAGTCTTTTTGGAGATGCTCTAAGGGAAATTGGACCAACATTTTTATCATGTAATCTATAAGTAATGAAACCATTAATAAATTATGCATTTGAATACTACTTTAATTCTTGTAGCCACAAACATGTATGTTGTGAAGACCATGTTTTTCAATCCTTATTATCTAAACAACTATTTATGAATAGAATTTACTAATTAAATTTTATGGCGACCAAAGCTATAATAAATAATAAATAACAAATTATATTAGTGTATGTTGTAATAGAGCTGAAATCACAATCATTAAAAAGTTATTATAACTTCATTTCTAATATACGAGTTTCAATATAGATATATATTGGATTCTCATTTTTCTTTATAATCTTTTTACTCTAGATTCATATTTATAGTAATAACATTTTCAAGAAAAAGAAATATGTATCTAACCTAAATTATACTTTTTGCATTAAAAATTAGTTACATAATTAAAGTATATATATATAATATTTTTAATAATGGAAAAAGATAAAAATAAATTCCAATTTATGATCTTATGGTTTCTTTTTATAATTTTAGAAAAGGAAAATTACTATACATAATTTTTACAGTTATATTTTGATTAGGATTTATTAGTAAATAATAATTTCAGTAAATATCAAATAGCTTTTTAAAAGTGGAATTTTCCAATTCGTTTTTTAATATCTCTACATATTTTACGATTTATTTTTGTTAGTTAAACTGGCTTTAATATTATGTTTATCATCAACTTCTTAGAAATAAAAATTAATAAGTAATTAAATTATATAGTTATATTTTCAGGATTTAGTAAAAATATAATAAAATTCTCTTTTGGTTTTAAAAAAGGGAAATTAACTTTTTAGATTTTTTTTTTTTTGGTTTATGTTTTTTTTAAATAATGAAAAACTGTTATTTAATACATGTTGCGATCTTAAATATATAATTATAATGTGTTTGGATCATGCTAATTAGCAACTTTAAAAAACCAAGTTTGTAATTATTTTAAATCCATGTTTTCAAAAAATACTATTGTTAAATTTTATTTATAAGAAAATTATTAAAAAAATAGAATTTTCTATATCCAGCACTTCTACCTTCTTTATATGTATTCACGTTTGGCTATATTCATCTAAAATATTACAATTTTCTTTGGTTTAGTATTTTTAACAGGAAAATACTATTAAATATTTATAAAAAATATTTTTTAATTATTTTAATTCTGTATAGAAATTTATATTAAAATAATGTTTAGCGTTAATTATCTTAGACCATGTTTTAAAAAGAAATGCTATTTTAAAAAAATTATTTATATGCAAATATTAAAAAAATGTTCTTTGTTTGAGAATTTTTAAAAAGGAAAATTATTTTTTAGATTATTTTTATATGCTTTTGGTTTAAGTTTTTTGTTAAAAGGAAAACTGTTATTTAACACATATCATAATCTTAAATATATAATTGATATATATCACAGTCATATTAATTAGCAATTTTGAAAAACCAAGCTTGTAATTATTTTAAACCCATGTTTTAAAAAAAAGAAATACCATTGTTAAAATTTTATTTATATGGAAATATTGAAAAATAAATTTTTGTATAAGAATTTTATAAAGGAAAGTTAACTTATTAGATTGTTTTATATTCTTTTGATTTAAGTTTTTTTTTTTAAAAAAATTAAAATTTTTTATTTAACACATGTCATAATCTTAAATATATAATTTCCATGTTTCATAATCATCTTAATTAGTAACTTTAAAAGAAATACTAATATTAAATATTATTTATATGGAAAAATAATTTTATAGATTTTCTTTAAGATTGTTTAAAAAAGGGAAACTAACTTTTTAAAGTTTATGTTTAAATTTATTTAAAAAGGTAAAACTAACTATTAAATTCTTTTGGTTTAAGTTTTTAAAAGAAAATTTCTTTATTTGACACATGTCATAATCTTAAATATATAATCGCCATGTGTCGCGATTATGTTAATTAGTAACTTTGAAAACCAAGCTTTATATAATAAGATTTGAAGAACCGCAACCATAACCTATCTTACAATAAAAATTAGAATATATTGATTATCATTTAGAGTGGTTTGGACGAATAATGACGCAATTTTCCAAACTCTAGATAACACCCTAGCACCACTCTTTTGTGGGTTTACCGGGATAATTTAATTGCATTTAGAGGATACTAGGTGGACGGTCTGCACGCCTATGCGAACATTAATATAATATATACATTGCGTGAATAAAAAATAATATAAATGTATAAATATATTGTAACTTTCTTTCTTTCATACATAGATACTCTGTTTTTTTAATATATTTTTCTATCTTACTCATTTCCTTTCTCCTTGTATTTTTTCACACATTCGTTTTGTTTCTTATGTATCTATCTCTACATTATTTTTGTATGCCTTTGTACACCTCTCTCTCGCTCTCTTTTTCTTTCTCTCTCTCTATTAATTGATCAAATAATCTCAAAATCTCTCATACTTATATTCAGTCTCTCACAATCACTTATATTCATTATCTTACTCTCGTCCTTAATATGATCCTCAATATTTCACTTTAAAACTTTTTCTATCTCTCTTTGGTTGCAAATTTTTCACCAGATTTTGTTAAATCTTCAAAACACTTTCACATAGTATTAATAAATGATTTCAAAATCTATCTCACTTATATTCAGTCTCTCACTTATATTCACTTTCATCTTCATTATGATCATAACCGACTCTCTACTCCTTATCATCACCATATCTCCCTCTATTTCTCCCTTTCATACATATTTTTTTATTTAGAATTTAATATAAAATCACAATTGCTAAGCAAATAAATTCATTATCAAATTATCTCCAATCTTCACACTATCTTATCAAACATTGATTCCTTTGACCTAGATCTTCATTGAAAAAAATGAATATCTTAAGAATATATTAATTTTGTTTTTGTAATTACTTCATTACATAAATATTTTAAGTAAATCTAAATAACTGTATTTCAAAAAAGTAAATTTGATTAAATAATTATATAACATAAAATATCTTAATTCTTAAATTATGTGATGTCATTATTTTAGACATAGATTAATATAAACGTGAGATTCAACAGTTTTAATATATCAAAATAACATGTTTCTAGTTGTATAAATTTTGGTATAACTTTGTTATCAAATATTTTAAAAATTTATTACACCGCAAAAAATACTTATCATTATTTTAAAATAATTTATTTTAAATTTAATTTGCGCTATATTTTGCATCTTCAACATTAACAATTTTATAACTTATCGTTTATATTTATCTTCCTTGCTCAATTATTATTTATGTTGTATAAACACCTAAAAATAATTAGTTTACAATTATATTAATATGTAAAAAAATATTTTGGTATACAAACAAAAAAATTATGTATGGACAAATACAATAAAACATTTTATTATTATTCACTCATGTTTTTATTTATGCCTCTTTTTTTCTTATTAAAAATAAACATGCAAGTTTTATTATACTTAAAGCTATATGAATTATATGAATAGAATATTAACTCTAGTCTTGTATTAATATAATGTTTTATTTTGTGTAATTTTATATCATAATAAACTTTTCATATATTCATATTTTTTAAAATGACATGCCATATAATTTTCTGTTTTAAATATAAAAATACTTAAATAATTTTTGAAAGTGATAACTCAAATTTACTATCGAAATTTATCTCTAGAAAATGATAGAATTTTTAAAATTTTTTATATTTGGCTGTTTTGCATTCATTGAACATATTTTAAGAATATATATATATATATAGTGAGTGAGTATAAAAATATTATTAGTTTTCTGTAATGTATGTTTTTATCCACTATTAATAGAAAAAAAATTAAAATCGTTTATATACTTATTTCTATAGTATAATATGTATTTATATGTATATTCTAAATTTTTATAATGGAATATGTGATATTTAATTGTTTCTATAAACAAATTCTATTAATCCTATGCATTTAAGATGATTAATTTTTTGTTTGGTAATATATATTAGATTAGGTAATTCTAGGATTAGTTTCCTTTTAAAAAACTTTAATTAAATAAATAAAAATTCAAATGGCAACAACCAATCAAATTAAAAAAATTAATTCTACATTGCACTTATGAATGACACGTAAGCAAAATTCATTAAAGTGACTTTTCTTTTAATATATAGGGGGATATTCAATTTGGTTATTGAGTTGAATTTATTTTTGACAAGTTATTAATATGATTTTTGGTAACTGAAAAATTACTATAAATAACTCTAAAATCTCATCTAAAAATATGAGATTTAGATATTTATTCCTTAACTAAAAAAAACATACTAAAACCACTAGAACCATCGTAAAATTTACAAGTCAAAATTTTCCAACGTGGATGTTAAAATATTTTATCAAATAATACGTTTGATAACATTAAAATTTAAATTTTATGTTTTAATAACAAGGTATTTATCCTTTAAAGTCAAATAACTTCATATTCTAATTGATATAACTAATTGAATACACCCTCCTTAGTGTTGGATAACTAATTTATTTGAGTAGTATGTTATGTAACATATATATGTTTTACTTTTATCTTATTTAGATTTAATGTGTGTTGACTTCTAAATTAGCATTCTTTGAATATTTTTTGCGGTAAAAATGAATCTATTTTTGATACAAATTTTGTATTTTTATTTATTTTACAATATATAAATTGAAAAAAAAATCCAAAAATAAAACAACAACAATATATGTATATGATGTGATCAGTTTGCAAAACCGTCCGTGTATGTACACAACAAGAGCCAAGGAAAGGCCGGCCATCTCTCAAAATAACCACATTCTTGAAGTCTCTCAAGCCATTTTACGTATCATCATCACCGCCCATCTAAAATAGAACTATTCCAAGACGAAAGAGACACAGACAAAGACTGAAGTCTGACCTGCTCTATGGTCGGATGCGACGAGCTTCCATACGAAAACTCTCTTGAATTTCTCCAAGATCCAAACTTCATCACCATCCATGACTCAACATCTTCACTACTTCCCGCCTCAAATACCTCAGCCTTCTCACCTTCAAACACTTGAACCACTTGTCTCATCGACGGTCTCTTCCCCGGATCAGGATGTGCACAAAGCAAACCAAGCTGCAAAACTCTCTCTGCCTCCTCATCACTAGCTTCTGTCATCCTCACCATCCTAGGATCAAGTCCTTTAAGTATCTCACCCTTCTCCAACAACCCCCAAACCCAATCCATCAACGGTTTCTTCCCTTCTTCAATAGGTCTCCTCCCACACATTACTTCAAGAACTAGCACACCGTATGCGAAGACATCGGTCTGTGTCGATGCACGACCTGTCTTAACAACTTCAGGAGCTAAATAACCAGCTGTACCAACCACCCTTGTTGTCCTAATAGCTTGCTCATGTCCATGTACTCTAGCTAACCCAAAATCACTCAGCCTAGGGATCATATCTTTGTCAAGCAACACGTTACTAGCTTTAATATCTCTATGTAACACCTTAGAGTCCCATCCTTCATGTAAATACAATATCCCCGAAGCTACACCTTTCAAAATCTGTATCCTCTCTTCACAACTAAGCACATGTTTCTTCTCATCATCCTCAAAGATCCACCGGTCTAAACTTCCATTCTCCATGTAATCATACACCAACATGAAACTACCAACTTCCTTCTTACACCAACCTCTTAAAGAAACCAAGTTCCTGTGTTTTAACCGACCAAGACTCGAGATCTCAGCTACAAACTCTCTCATCCCATCGCTACTCTCCTGCGAAATCCGCTTCACCGCAACTTCTACAGCTCCTCCTTGCAACAAACCTTTATACACTTTCCCATTCCCACCGACACCAATCACATTCTTCTCATCAAACCCTTTGGTCCCTGACTCAATCTCCTCGTAGGAGATCCTATGAGGCCAATACTCCATCTCCCAATCCTCCATCAACGCTCTCTTCCTCGCTCTCTCCATCCTCTTCCTCACCACAACAAACGTAACAAAACCCACCAAAGAAACGACCAAGAAACATAACAACACCAAGACAAACACAAACCATGTCTTTTTAAGGATTGAGTCTTTAGGTATAACAAAAGAAGGCAAACCAGTTGTGATCAAACTATCACTCAAGGAGAAATTAGTGTTACTAAAACTCCAAGCTAAAACCTTATGACTCTGAACTAATCTCCCTGTAGCTGCTGTAAACCCAACAAACATCTCATCCTCCATAACTCCAGAGAGATTCAGAAACTTGCTAAGCAAGGGAGTCTTAGGTCGAACCTTACCAGCGAGCTGTATAGTAACGTTGACTATATCATCTCTATAATCAATCCAAACCTGATAGTTTCTTCCGTTGTTAAGCTTCAACGGCTTAAACACTGGTCTCTCATCTTCCGACCAGAACCCAGACGTGTTGGAAAAGACAGAGTTAAGAGAATTAACATCTATTCCGACATGGTTAGCATCGATGTCGTTAAACTCTTGATTAGCGAAGACATCGAACTCAACACCGAAGACGTGGTTGGTCGGGTCGCCGTTGTTGGTCAAGTTGAAGAGACCCAAGTGCTGAGCAGAGCTTGTTCCGTTGATACCGGTGGAGGGTGCGAAGAGGAAGACGAGGCCGTGGCCGGAGAGGACGGCGTTTTTGGAAGGAGCCATGGCGAAGATGAAGGAGGTGGAGAAAGGGAGGAGGGAGGAGGTTGTTGGGTCTTTTGTACGGATGGTGGTGTTGTATAAGGCGCGACCGGTTGAGTATGATGTTTGGTTTGTTAAGGTGAGGACTTTGGATTCGATTGTTGCGTTTCCGAAGAGAGAGAGAGGTGGGGAGGGAGAGTCATCGAAGCCGTTGAAGAGGAGATCGACGGCTGAGATTGGGTTTAGGAGAGGGAAGAGGAGAAGGAAGAGAGGAGCTTTCATGGTGGAGGAAGAAGACGAGGAAGTTTACGCGTGAGGTTAAGTGTCATAGTTTGGGATTGATAATGGCCTTTTTGAGGATTTATTAATGACAGTTGTTGAAAGGGAAAGTTGAAAGATTTGCATGAAAGGTTTGATTTTTCATTTTTTATTCACCGTTACTGTTTGGTTTAGTCAAAGTTTATGACTTGTTGGGGTTAAGTTTCTTGTACTTTGTTGTACTCTTCTTGGTCTGAAAGTTATATATTGAGTAATTTAATACGAAGTGAAGACTTTGGCAAATTTCCTCTTTGAACAAAAAAAATACGAAATGGTCTTAAGCTCAACCACAATAGATAAAACTGAGAAGGAGACGTCTAGACAAAACTTATAATACTGTATACAATAAAATCCTTAACTTTCGGATTAAATAAAAAAATCTTCAATTCGTGTTTAGACCAAAATTTATTCAACCTTTAACTATTGATTATTTTAGTTTTCATATTTTGTTGACTCAACTATTTAAAAAATCTAAAAAATTAACTGTTAAACTCGGGTAATGGTCGTTATATCCAATACAACAACGTTTTAAAAACCGCTGTATTTAATATTTAAAAAAAGTCTCAATATCTTCCTCAGTCAAAACCTAATCTCCAATTTGATATTATCTTCCTTAAATCACTTTTAGAATTTCAAATGCAATCATAAATTGTCTTCATCAGAAATTACTTCTGAAATCAATTTGGGAAAAGATGAAATCAATCTAGTGATTAGGTTTTTGAGTAAAAAAGATGAAATTGATTTGAGATTCCTAAAACAAATAATATGCTCAAATACGAGTTAAGATTAATGAGTGTTATTTGAGTTTAACAATTGATTTTTCGAAGTTTTTTAAATGGCAAAGTCAATAAATTGATAACATGCATATTGAGTATAATACCTAGAGAAGACTTTCAAGAACTTCATTATCAATATGTGTTTTATAAAATCTTAATGTATTTTTATTTTATTATAAAAATTTAAAAGTAGAAAGCTAAGTCAATGAGATTAAAATACTTTGTAGAGTTTTTCAAAAAGTTTTTTCATATGAAAAACAGTTTCTCACTATCTCTCTCTCTCTTTCTCTCTATCTCTACCTCTCTCTCTCTCTCTCTCTCTCTCTCTCTCTCTCTCTCTCTCTCTCTCTCTCTCTTCTCTCTCTCTCTCAAACTTTTTTTCATGTGTTCTATTGTTGGGAAACTAGTTGAGATTCTGATGATTGATGCTCTAAAAATAATTTTAGGGTCAAAACTCTAAATTTATTATTAAGAATACAATTTTAGAGTTGGTACAAGATACCGATCGACATTGAAATATTGAACTAACTGAATAACATAGCGAGATAAAATTTTGGCCTATGGCCTTCAAAACATTAGTTAATAATTTATATAAACCCCATGATTTGGGGGCCCGCCCTGGCTATAATGCAGCTGCATTAGATAGGACAACGAAAAGGTCAAAAGACTCAAAAACTTTTTTGCATTAGATATGAAAACGAAAAGGTCAAAAAGACTCAAAACTCAAAAGCTTTTTGTCAATTAAAACAAGATATATGGGTGTTAAATGGTTTTGTTCAGTGTTCACATAGATAAAGTGTGGGTGGGGTGGGGGGGGGGGAAGAGGAGAAATCGGCGTTTAAAGAGTTACGACGCAGCGAGAATGTTCTTTGTCAACGCGTATTTGTCTTAAACAAAAAAAATATTAATATCGTATTTGGTTTAAATTAGAATAATGCATGAAATCTGACAATCTTTGGACATAAAAAACTATATCCAAAATATGATTCTTTATAAAATACAGCTGTAGTAAAACAGTAGTTGTACGAAAATACAGCTAGAAATGATGAAAAAGAAAAGATGACATGCTAAGGAAATCATGTATCATACAGGGTCAATTATATACTGGTAAACGTACAAATAATACTAATATGTAATGGGTGATGAATGACGAGTGATGTTAATCTGAATAGATATATCCAAGGATTAAAGAAAAACATGAGAAACCGAAGAAGAAAACAGTGTAACAAAAAAGACGCATAATACATTTACGAAGTCAACATCAGAAAACTAGATCACAGCTGCTGAAATAATGCAATAGATGAAAAAGATAATATATATACATGTGTCGATGAAAAAGATGTGCAGGAGTCACTAGTCTTATACATTGACAGGGATATATTATTTAACAACAACTAACCTCTTCTTCATAGTTCCTTCTGATCTCTTACTGTTTTTGCCTCTTCTCCAGTTCAAGCTGAAATGGGTCACTGAACAGACGAAAAGATGATGTACGCTCGGAGTTCTTGGCTGTATGCTCGGCTTCTACATCATGATGTTTTCTTTGGAATTGTTCATGTAATTCAGCTTTCCTTCTCTGGACTTTAGCTATCAAGAGTGAATCCTGCTCACAAAAAATTTAAGAGTCAGCCAACACCGAGAAAAACAAATCAAACTAGAGGTAACCTTGTTACCTTGTTCAGTTGTTCTTGGAGGTGGAAATCTTGGAGGTGGCGACGGCATGTACTCAGTGTCTTGGATATCACCAGTTTCAGCTGGTCGGGTAGGTTCTGGAATCGTTTCATCAGAAATAGCAAGATATGGCTTTGAAGCAACAGAGTCCTTTTAAAAGACATCTGAGTAGCCTGCGGTTAGTCATAGACATGCAATAACCGCTATTTGAAGCGCAAAATAAATTTTAACCGTAGAAAACAAAAGAAATAATCAAATGGTAAGCTACGGCTAGGCAAGGGCTCATCGAAAATCTGACCCTTCTTAGACTTGTTATTCCTTCTCAAGGCTTTAAATTTCAACGAAGGCATCTTCTTTTTATTACGAACAGAATTAATAACATCAACAAGCCAATCTCTCTTAATCCTTTCCAAATTATTTTATCAGTAGGCAATAGAAAAGTTATTACCTGTTGTTAGTTAACACTACGTCCTTATCAAAGTGATTCATCTCCCTTGCGTGGGGAGAAGGCGTTGGTTGAAGAACCAGTTGAGGTGATGGATGCCCTTAACATAAGATAGTAAATAGATGTACTGGTTAGCCATAAAATATGAGACTATGTTTGTTTATTCACCAGAAGGTTCACGTTCTTCCTCAGCATCAGCAAAACCTTGTTTGGATAATCTTTGAGAGTTTAACACTTCTTCATCAAGATTAGGTTCCTTTTCATTCAAACTTTCAGACAAAAATCCAGTGGGCTCAGTCTCGTTATCATCGTGTTCAGAAAAAAATCAAAATAATATAACGAAAAGAACATTTGAGTGTGTCCAAAGTAAAGCAATCAGAAACCGAAACGTAACGTTGAATGCAAGTTATTTGAAGTTCATACTAACCTTGGAGAAGAACTTGAGCTCACGCTTTGCGATCAACTCCAAAATTAAAGTCTCCCCTGCTCCTACTTCATTCTTGCGACAGAACTTTTCCCATATTTTAGGATTCCAAACGCATAACACTACAAGAAAACTCGTCCATTACTAGGACGGGTTTTCCTCGTTAGTTCCTAGTAAATGGCCTTTTACTAGGAACTTACGAGGAAACGCGTTTCCTCGAAACACGTTCATCGTAAAGACATTTTCCTCGTAAGGTTGTAGCGAATTTACGAGGAAAGTTTTCCTCGTAAAGGCGTGGTAATATTTTCCTCGTAAG